GCACAAGGAAGGATCTGTCCTTTCTTAATGCTGACCGTGGTCCAGAGCTAAGCATCTTGGCTTTATTTAAAAATGATGGGTTGCATCAGTAGCACAATGATGTGTTGTTGGTGGAGTCACAGCACAGATCACAGGAAAGCTGTTATCAGCTTAATTTCCTTGCCCTTTTGAAGACTAAACAGGCAATTTGCTACGTGTTGCAAATGACTGATGAACTTAATTGGCTTCATCCTTTTTTGCTGAGTTATGTTTTGGGTCCAGTGAGTTCATACACAAATATTTAACCACGTTTTTTTTGAGCTAGCTGGTCAAATGTCATTTCTATGATCTGAAAACTAATGATGTGACTCATATCTTATCTCTTGCACTAGTGTAGCGTGTTACAAATGTGGGTGTTGCATAAATTGTTGAATGCTGAAGTTATCACTGAACCTGAATACATGCTGATCATGGCAGATCCTGTGTGAAATTGCTGCCAGAAATAAGACAGAGGTTGATATTGTGGTTACTTACGAGGCACTATGGGAAGTCCTATCTGAAAGTAGTAAAAGTTCAGTAGCTGAGATGTGCGTCATTCACAGCAGAACGGGTAAAATGATTTCCACAGGCTGCTCTGCTAATCTGCACCATAAACAGTTCAGCGTAATGTCACACTGTGAAAGTCTGAAGATGGATGCTCTGGCTCATGACAACTGCCGAGCCAGCCCGGAATCCTGCCCAACAGTGGCTTAAAAATGAGTTCCCAAGGAACAGCATAAAAGCATGGCAAGAGGAGAATGCTTTTGGACTGCTCCAGCCTGCAGTGATTCCTGAGACACCAGTGGTATCTTTGTGTTTGAGTACCCTCAATCCATTTTTCTCCCATTTGTCCGGTTATTTTTTGGACCCATACATCTCTCCAAATGGTGTTCTGCAGCTCAAGGGCATGGTGGGTGAAGAAGCACCTCCTTTTGCCCATTTAAAACCTGCCAGTCTCTATTTTATTTATTCTCTATACAGGAAGAGAATATGACCTGTCATTCCCTCTCACCTCCTCCAAACCCCTCATAGTTTCACAGATCTCTACTATATCCACAGATACATATAATAAATAAATAAATAAATAAATAAATAAATATATATGAGCCCTCCCCTGGGGCCCAAGGGCTGCCCTCTTCAGAAGCTGGATCTGGTTTCAGTTTGTCTGTGGTGTGTAATTGTGAAGGCAAACCCCTCATAGTTTCACAGATCTCTACTCTATCCACGGATATATATGAGATATATATATATGTATATGAGCCCTCCCCTGGGGCCCAAGGACTGCCCTCTTCAGAAGCCGGATCTGGTTTCAGTTTGTCTGTGGTGTATAATTGTGAAGAGTTACCCTTTAAAGCTGTTCTTAGAAACTCTAATACCCATCACACTCTCCACGATTAGCCAGAAGGTATATATTCTGATGTTGTAAATGTTTATAGCCAGATGGCTTCATTTGCAGGGCAGTATTTCTGAGCATTGAACAAATATTGAAAATATTTGTTATTATTGCCAAAAAAAGGCAATAACTATTGTTGTTTTTATTTGTGTCTGGAAGCCAGGGAATAGACACTGGTTAATAGCCTGCACCCAGCTTTCCACCGTGGAAACTCTGAATCTCTCTCCAGCAGGAGAGACCTGGAAGAGTAAAAGTGAGAAAAACTCCTGGGCCAAGACAAAAAGGCAGTTAAGGAAAGGGAAGGACAAAAAAAATATCGAAAAAGTGATGCAAAGACTCACCAGCTCCCACCAGAAGACTGTGAGCAAGTGAATTAAAGAGTAAGTGCAGGTCCCAGGCGAAAGGCTATGAATTAACCCAGGGTGGGATCCCAGGAGGATTTATACCCCACTAGGAAGAAAACAGAGTTTTTCAGGTGCATCTTGTGAATAAAAACTGCCTCAGGATAGGCCTTTCATACACAGATAAGCCTTTCATACCCAAATAAGCCTTTCATACTCAAATAAGCCTTCCATACTCACATAATTCTTGCCTTTCTGTCATCAGAGGTGACCCAAGACCTTTAGCAGTTAAATCTCTTTCCAGTGCAACTCCTGGATCCCTCCAAGCAGTTCTGGCTTCGTCCCAACACCATTTTGAAATCCTTCAGGGGTTATGCGAGTGATTAGATAAAATAATTTTAAAAGCCACGTCCAGATGTGGGAGTGATGCTGCAAGCAAAGCCCTGCTTTTCCACCACATTAGGCTTCACAGCAGTTGTTCATCCTCAGGGCTGCCAGTAGAGGAACACAAGGCACCTCATCTGCAAAAGTAAAGGGAACAAAAATGCAAACAACTTCAGTTTTTCCTCGACGGCAATAAAAATGAGTGTTCTCAGTGATATAATCAACCCTCCGGACTTGGCCTAGAAGGCTCCTCTCAATTTCATTCATCTGCCCACTTCTGGTTTTAAATACCCTCAGTGTGCAGTATTCAGTGGTGCCTGTTGTAACAGAACATGCAGAATTTGTTGCTGATAAAGAAAATCTTCGGGACAGGGAGAGATGCGCAGGGAATTGGCGTCATCTGCCTCAAATCAGATCCCTGGCAGCCAGACATGTAAATCTGTTTAAATCTCCTGAGGCTCCCTTTGCAGTCAAGGGACACAAATACATTTCTTCAGTGACTGACTCATTTCATGCTAAAATAGGCAAAAAAGAAAAGTCAGATGCCCTGTTCTCTGGAAGTATCAGTGTTTCTCCCCTAACAGGGGAGACGAGCTGATTTGTACACCTACCTTCTTAATATCTAAATTTAGGTGGGAAATGTTTCTTTCCTCGCTGCTGTAGAATCTGCTAGTCCTTTGCTAATTGGGCTAAAGGAAAAAATCTGCCCACCCTTTAAATGCCCTTTTGACAACTCAGTAGAAAACAAAGTCTGCTGTTCACAATATATCCATCTATTTTTGTACACATGGAAGTGCAGATATGAGCACTCAAAAACTGATGGAACCAACGTGGACCCAAGGTCTAAGCCAATGAGTCGATGCAGGAAAGAAAACACCTTTCAAAGCCCACTACCATTACCTGAAAGAAAAATAAAAGACTTTATAAATACAGGATATACAAGAATATATAATTTTTCACACTTTCTTCCAGTGTCACACCACCTAAGAGGTCATTACCATTTTGGGTCTGCATCTCAAAAGATGTAATGGGATGGGCTGAGAGTTGGCAGGTGGCAGAGCCTCTTTCTCTGGTTCAGAGAAACTGAAATGGTCCCTAATGTCATTGGGTAAGATGAGTCTCATCTGACATTAGCCGCCTGGAAGTCTGGATGACCTCCCTCTCTAGCATGTGGAGGGAAATACGTGCTGCCAGAGGACACTGACCCACTCGGTTCTTCTTGCCAGCACTGTCCATGGCGTTGTCTTTGAGCACCAGTTCCACAGACAGAAAACATCTGACCTTTGCTAATCAGAGGTAGATATGAAAATACTATCATTTGGCACGAATTCTCATTCAGAATGAGTTTAAGAGGAATTTCACGTCTCTTATTACACTGAGATTTCCTTCAGTGATGAAATCAATTGGGTTTTTATCCCAGTAATGTTTCCATTACCTTCCTTACACTGCAGTTGTTACCAGCTTCTAGTCTCTGCATCCCACATTCTCTTCACTTATTTGTTCCCCTACTGAGGCTACGCTGGGTCTGAGTTAACATTGCTTTAGGACTAATATAAGACTCACAAAAGTCAAGTTTAGTAACATTCCTTAACCCAAAAGAGTAATTCATGCTCTTGACACTTAAGCACTGTCAGAAAATTTTGCACCTAATAAATTCCTTTTTCTCACCTTGTACCTATGTCACTGGTTTATGCACTACAGGTTTCCTGTAGTATTTAGTAATATTTACACACATATTTAGTAATTATGTTTGTAGTTTAGGAAAGGTGTACCTGTTACTCAGGCTCCTTCCCATACCTACTTAGTTTTAAGAATCATAGAATGGTTTGGGTTGGATGGGACCTTAAAGATCATCTAGCTCCAACCCACCTGCCATGGGCAGGGACACCTCCCACCAGACCAGGTTGCTCAAAGCCCCATCCAGCCTGGCCTTGAACCCCTCCAGGGATGGGGCAGCCACAGCTTCTCTGGGCAACCTCTTCCAGTGTCTCACCCCTCTCACAATAAGGAATTTCTTCATAATATATAATCTAAATCTCCCCTCTTTGAATTTAAAACCATTACCCCTCATCCTATCACTCCACTGCCTGATCAAGGGTCCCTCCCCATCTCTCCTGTAGCCCCTTTAGGGACTGAAATTTCATTTAAGTACTGTATTTCATTTAATATTTTACATCGCATTAAATTCTCAATAGTAATTAAACCAATCATTCTTTTAAGCTCTGTCCAGGGTAATCCATGAAGAGCCTTTACCTTTCGTGGATCTTCACACCTTCTATGGATCCTCAACCAGTTTCTAGAAACATCAGAAAGGAAACTGCAGGTTGCTGGAGGGATTTGTGGTTTGCGTATTCCTCAAAACCTGCATGTGTGACTTGGGTACAATTGCATAATTTCATTCCAGAAACAGAGGTGAAATCACCAAGAAGAACTTGGAGTGCTCGTTTTCAACCCCAACACCTCCTGCCACTGTGCTCACCTTCTAGAGGGGTTGGCAGATGCCGATGTATGCATGAGGGCAATCAGCAAGAGTTTAAGCATATACATAGCTGCTAGGCTGCAAATATTTTTGCATTTTGAGTTTGTTCAACAGCATTTGACCGTGGTTTCTTTAGTCCTACATGAATGATTACACAAAGGAACACAAGCTGGAGAGGAAAAAAATCAGTATGTAAACAAGGAGGTCACCCTAGTTTGTTCATTCTTATCTTGAGCAGATTAATAAGTAACCTCATATCTCAGTAGGGTTAGGGAGGCACTATTGGCTAATTTCATCCATGTGCTTTGGTATCACAGCATATAAATAAGCACGGATTTACAGGTTCAACATCAGGCTCTTCCGACATTTCCTTTCTCTTCCTCAGCCCAGCATGGAGCTCCTGGGAGTGACCACTATTTTCTTGCTGATCTGTGTCTCGTGCCTTCTTCTCGTTTCCACCTGGAGAAGCATATCACAAAAAGGGAAGCAACCTCCTGGCCCCATCACACTCCCCCTTCTTGGAAACATATTCCAGCTGGACCTGTGGAACTTGCCTGAAAGCTTGAAGAAGGTAAGAGACTGTCTCCTTCTTCCCTATGTTTTCTCCACTGCACATAAAAACCAGTATGGTCCAGACTGTCTCAGCTTAATTAACGAGCTTAATTTGCATTGACCAAATGTCAGACTCAAGCAGAAACAAAAGGTTTCCCAGAAAGACACGTTTCTCAAGTCTATATATTGCAATAATCTATATATCTAGGTATATATATTGCAAGTCTAAGTCTGTATATTTGCAATCGATACTAATGATGAGCCCTGTGCTGACCTGATGGCAGTACTGCAATTTGCAGTGGATTTGCAATCAAGGCACTGATGCTATTGTAATATTCACTATACTCCTCCTGTACCCAGCTCCTCACCACGCTGGCAGCACAGCCTGGCCCTTTTTTAGGAAGGACCCTGCTCCATTTTACTGCCTCTGCTCCCTAGCAGACAGGTTGGATCTCCTGGGTGTACAAGAAGCTAGTGAAGGGGTTGAAGCAAAAAAGTTTGAAGTTGAACTGTGTTGTCTGTTCCCTCTTCTGGCTGATGTCAGAATCATTTTATAGAATCATAGAATGGTTTGGATTGGAAGGGACCTTCAAGATCATCCAGTTCCAACCCCCTGCCATGGGCAGGGACACCTCCCACCAGACCAGGTTGCTCAAAGCCCCATCCAGCCTGGCCTTGAACCCCTCCAGGGATGGAGCAGCCACAGCTTCTCTGGGCAACCTCTTCCAGTGTCTCACCACCCTCACAGCAAAGAATTTCTTCCTAAGATCTCATCTAAATCTACCCTCTTTCAGTTGAAAACCGTTACCCCTTGACCTCGACCGAGGTCTGGGAGGTGGCAGGTGTAGGGATTTCGTGCTCCAGGCCCCTCATCACCTTTGTAGCCCTAATCATCGCCACATCTCAGTGATGCTGGGACAACAGCACATTCCCCCTTAGACCCCTTCGCTACAAACTTCTTTTCACCTGGTTAATGTTCAGACGTGGTGCTCTTTGTGTTCCTCTTCCCTACAGCTCAGCGAGAAGTATGGTCCTGTCTTCACCGTGTATTTAGGCCCACAAAAGGTTGTGGTGCTGCATGGGTATGATGTTGTGAAAGAAGCTCTGATTGACCAGGCAGATGAGTTCAGCGGGAGAGGCAGTCTACCACTGCTTAAAAAACTCTTCCAAGGCACAGGTATGACCCTGGTAATGTTAGCATCCCAAGCTGATGCTGTCAGTGCTTCAGCTGAGAGGGCAATGGAGGAAGGAATAGTGGATCTAATTTACTGCTTTCGTGCATACAAATTAGCAATAAAAACCGAAAAGCCCAACTCATTACTTGGACCCTTGAGTAAATCAGACCTCTGGGGAACTGTTTAATGTCCCAGGTTGGCTTCGCTGACTGCCTTTCTATTTTCAGCATGCTTCAACTTCTGGCCAAAGTTTTGTTCATTAAATGTGCCTCTAAGACCTTATGTTCATTCTCCCGTGTCTGAGAATATTGACAATACACATCCAGCTAAGGAACTAGCGAAAGGGAAGTCCAC